GAGAGAGTGAATGGTGGGTATTGGAAGATCAGGTCTTATAGGAAAGGGGGAGCCCAGACTCTCCAACATGGCACTTTCATGAAATMGACTGAGCATCTTTACAAGGTTCTAATACAGTCGTGATATTTATTGGACCACGCTGGTTGCTGTGTYGAGACTCTACTGTAGGGCACAAGGGTGCACACTAGTTAGAAAGCTGCTGGAATACTCTTTGCAAAAGATGATGGTAGCTTGAATGGTGGCAAGGGAGTTGCAGTAAGAGTCGTGGGAAATGGGCAAATTCTGGTAAATTTTGAAGGAAGGGATTTCAGTATTTTGTGGTACATTGAAAAGTAGATAGGAGAGAAAGAGATTAGGTTGATGACAAATTTTAAAATTCAGAAATAGRTAGGGTAGAATTTGAATCATGGCTGTGGGAAATGCACAGATAGATCARTTTTTGGAAGTGAGCATTAAGAATTCAGCTTTAAACATGATAAGCTTAAATGCACATATCTATTATTCATCTTTTAATACAGAATGCCAGCACTGGAATAAAGCTGAAGCATCTTCAACTGGTGGAAATTTTTACATAAGAATCAAAATTGGGAAATGAAAAGTTGGCTTTCTCATAGTTGATAAAGTCTCTAAAATGTTGCATGTTTAAATATCTGTGCATGTACATATTGGGGAGAATTATCATTACATTTATCATGTTCTCAAAGAGGCCCAGGCTCCATAAATATGAAAGCCATTAATAATTGACTGATAAAGAAATTAAGGAACATGGTGGCTAGAGAATTATGGAAATTTACAGGATTGTTTTTTTTKKGGGGGGGTGAAAGAATGAGAATGCAAATTTTGAGGTGGAAAGAGGAAGGCAGTAGTCTTTGGCACTTTCTAGTATCGTCACTGCAACAAAATTGGTGATGATGTCCCATGTTTCCACAGATAGGCATGGCTAATCTGCTTTGCCACATGATATTTCAACAGGTGAGGCTATCTCTTGTTTCCTTTGAGTTTCTCTAGAAGATGTTAACATAAATTGGAATATAGAATGCTGCTTCTGGGGACAATGATTAACCTTTTTTTTTTTTTTTTCCATATGGGCAAAATGTGCTCCTGGGATGAAAKATTACTCTTCCAATTCACACAGGTGATTAGCATCAGGGATATGTACCAGACCTCTTCAATCCCACACCAATGAACTTTGCATTTCTAAGACTTTCACTCCTGTATCAATTACATGGGAATAGTGACAAAAGTATTAAACTTACGGATTTTAGCTAGATACTGAATGATACTATTTGGGCTTAAATTATTTGTAGAAATTTGACCTTCTTATTTTTTTTATAAGCTCAGAACTTATTTTTTTATAAGCTCAGGTATTTTCCCTCTCATTCAGAAAAATAATAGCTGTGCAGAATGGGCTGTGCATTTTACCTATTTAACTTTGAGATCTTCTCATCTTTTTGGATGGGAGCACATGGGGGTTGGCAGGTTGTTCAACTGCTTTTCCAAAATGATAGAGCTACCAATAAGGGAATCAGGCCTTGAACTTGTGTGTCATTTCCATTTTGCAATTCTGCCTATGCCAGACTTTTCTACCCTCAAGCAGACTTGCTCATATATTTGTGGGATGAATCCCAAGGAATGACCCTGCTCTCATGTCTGGGGATCATTTACTGTGTCTATAAAGTGTAGACCGGATTTCTCATTATTCACTAAGTTGATTAGGGCTTATTCACAGACATTTGGTGGGATTCTGAAGTGAGAAGTGAAACAAGAAAAAAGCTACTGAGACCCAACCTTGCAATCCACGTGGGGCAGTCTATGCTGCAACCCATTGGCCAAAGCAAACCACCAAGCCTTCTAAGTCACAAGAGGTGGGAAAAACAGTCCACTCTTGATACCAGTAAAGACCTTTTTTGTTTGGTACTACAACACATAATTTTTTGATCTATTATTTAATTTAATTTCCCTCTCTTTATTTTAAACATATGAACTCTGGTCCAAAATATAATGTGATAATTTTTGTAATATCATTTTATTGCATACAGAAGTCAAAATGATGGCTATGGCAATGCATCTTTTAACAGAGAGTTCCATCAAATTTATTTATACATTCTTTCCAGTATATTGTAGTTTCTAAGTTCTATAGTTTTCTAAAAAAAACAAGAGATACAGCAGCTTTGGTACTAACCCATATTTTAAAAGGACCTTGTTTTTAGATTTCAAGAGCATTTTAAGGAAAAATTATTATTGAAATAAAAATTTTTGTTCAGAGGTGAGATTAAGACTGATGGTCTTCAAATCCCATCTACCAAGATGTGCTTCTAGTTCATATATTGCTTTCTAATTCTACCTAGAAATTTTAATGCCTCTTTTCTGTCTTCAGAAGATCAGAAGGCTAATATAAACAACTGACAGAGGAATGAGGATTTCAGAGTTACCACTTAAGAGTGAAGAATTACTCCATTCAATGCATTTCAGGCCTGCAACTTGAATGAACTTTACATAAGTATATCTGATCACAGTAATTCTTCATAATGGCCATGGCTTCCATTTCTGTTGGCTTACAGGATAAGAAGTCTTTTTTATGACTTGCACAAGTTTAATTTTATTTTTTTGTTATCAGGGATTAAATCCTGGGGTGCTTAACCCCTGAGCCACATCCCCAGCCTTCCTTTTATTTTTATTTTTTATTTTGAGACAGAGTCTCCCTAAGTTGTTTGGGGCATCACAAAGTTGCTGAGGCTGGATTTGAATTTCCAGTTCTCCTGCCTCAGCCTCCTGAGTTGCTGGGAAGAGTTTTGTAATCTAGTGTCTCTTTTGGCTCTTCCAAGACTCTCTACCCATCCATCTTTATTTAACCTCTCTCAGTTTCTTTAGCTCACCAATTTCTCTCTCGTGTAAGCTCTGATTACTTAAATTTCTTGCGATGGAATTTCTTTCCACTATCTTCTTAACCCACAGTGAGTGTTATTTGGCCCAATTCTCATTTTTTAAGTTTCCTTAAGTTCATCTTCTGGGAAATTGATGACCAGTAGACTAGACAATTTATTCTAATAATTATTTGCCTCTTGAAGTCAGAAAAACAAATGTAGCAAAAGCTAACCATGAATTCCTGCCACTATAATTCTGCTCACACTTGATCAGATTTGGAATAAAAATTTCGTCATGCAAATGAAGGATGGCACAGCACTATAGAATTAATTGTGGGCCTTTGAGGAAATGAGAAATCATTATTGAATGATGAATCACGGGTGTGATCCTGTATGGTGATGTCTTAGGTGATGAGAACTGGTGGACTATAGGGTCATAAAGGTAAGTTAAAACCCACTTCTGGAACCTTGGGTTTGGGGCAAAAGTGCCTGTACTTTAAGTGTTAATGAAAGACAATGGTTATATACTAAGAGTGAAAGAGGTGGACTTGTCTTCAGGTTTTCAAGCTGAATTGTTTACAATAGTATCAATCAAGTCAAATCACTGARCATCATTGCCTATGTTTGAAATATTAGGCCATTCATACCTTCCTTCCTAGAAATAAGAACAGTGGGTAAATGAAGCAGTAGAGGACTTGAGTTTGCATTTCTGCTTAGAACACTGACTAGTTTTTCTGGAAGGTAAATATTTTGAATATAGAAATATAGTTACTCTAATTAGTAACGAATTATTAACTAATTAGTAACTATAGTCACTCTAATTAGTAACTGATTAGTAGCTAATTAATTAACTAATTAGACACCTCTTCTTAGCTTCTCTCTGAGAACTCTTGAGATTCAGGATATAAAATTTAAAGGATTCATGGTTTCTCAATGCCTTGCCACCCCAAATTGGGTCCTTTTTATTGTTCAGCATCTACCACATCAGAAAATGCCTGAACTATGCAWACAAAACTCCTCAGCTGGAGAAAAGTTAGTTGTAAGAGGTTTTCAGGTTGAAAGAGGGCTGTGGCATTGCCTTAAATAGGGGAACACAAGAGAAAACAAGTATTCACCCATAAGAGAGAGAAATGATAGTAGTGGAGAGCAGATGTTCTTCTTTCTTTCATTTTTTATTATTTTTTAATTTTTAAACTTAAATTTATTTTAACTGACATATAAAAACATGAACTTATACATATCTATGAAGTATCATGTGATACTTTCATGCATATATACTTTGTATAATGTTTAAGGTAGGGTAAATACATCTATCTCCCCAAACATTTATGATTCCTTTAAGGTAAAACATTCAAAATCTTTTTTTTTTTGGCTTTTAAAGATATGTAGTGCATTGTCAATTTCTATGATCTTTCTACTGTACAATAGCATACCCAAACTTCTCACTCCTCTCTAGTTATAAGCTGGTATCTAAACATAGACTATTGATTAAACAGGTTCTGGTTTCAAATATCAGCTCTTCTATTGACTTGCTCTGTGACTTTGATTACTTGAACATTTTATGCTTCAATTTCCTCCACTATATCATGAAGAGCATAATTCCACCTACATCATAAGGTTGTTTTGAAAATAAACTCAGTTAAATTAAGTATAGGTCTATGAATAGAAACTGGTATATGATCAGAAATGTATTTATTTTTCTATTTGTACTAATTGTAGGAGGGATAGTATAATATACTTTGACACAATTCTTGACACACAAGAAATTCTCCAAGATCTATGGAAGGATACTGAAATTTGTTTTGAGTGCCAACTATCTATTAAAACTTGACCTTAGTGTTTTCTTCTATATATTTTTTTAACTCAGACAATCTTCCAGGAAATTATTCATCATTTTCATGAATTTCATTTATTTCAATTTTTTATGAGAATAAGAGATTTGTCTTAGATTAAAGATGGTAAGTGAATTACCTAATTTTAAAATAAGTTTTGTAACAATCCCAATGGTCTTTCCAAGTCAGACTGAAGTTCTAAAATTCTAGACAGTAAGAAAGGAAATTACTTCTTAGAAATTGCTGATTCAATTGATATACTTGTTATGTTGTTTCAAAACAAAAAATCACTAAGTGATGTTTATTCTCTGGTAACAATATTCAGGCTTTTCCCTTTGTGGACATGGAAGTGGGAAATCGCACTGTCCTGACTGAATTCATCTTGGTGGGCATCTCATCAGACCCCAGGTGGCAGCCAATTCTATTTGTAATATTTCTGGTGCTTTATTTGGTGACGTTGTCAGGGAACATGACCCTGGTTATATTAATTAGGATTGATTCCCGCCTGCATACACCTATGTACTTTTTCATTGGCAGTCTGTCTTTCTTGGATTTCTGGTACACCTCGGTATATACCCCCAAAATCCTGGCCAATTGTGTCTCAGAAGATAAGCGCATTTCCTTGGCTGGATGTGGGGCTCAGTTGTTCTTCTCCTGTGTTGTGGCCTACACAGAGTGCTATCTCCTGGCAGCTATGTCATATGACCGCCATGCAGCAATTTGTAACCCTTTGCTTTATTCAGGCACCATGTCTGCTTCTGTTTGCATTGGGCTTGTTGCTGGATCCTACATGGGAGGCTTTCTGAATGCCATAGCCCACACTGCTAACACCTTCCGCCTGAGTTTCTGTGGTAAAAATATCATTGACCATTTTTTTTGTGATGCACCACCATTGGTAAAAATGTCCTGTACCGACACTCGGGTCTATGAAAAAGTCCTTCTGGGTGTGGTTGGCTTCACTGTTCTCTCTAGCATTCTCGCCATCCTCATTTCCTACTTCAACATCCTCCTGGCCATCCTAAGGATCCATTCAGCCTCAGGAAGGCGCAAGGCATTCTCCACCTGTGCTTCCCACCTGGTCTCCGTCATGCTCTTCTATGGATCCTTGCTTTTCATGTGTTCAAGACCCAGTTCCACCTACTCCCTGGAGAAAGACAAAGTGGCTGCTCTGTTTTACACTGTGTTAAACCCACTGCTCAACCCTCTCATCTACAGCCTGAGAAACAAAGATGTCAAAGAGGCCTTCAGGAAAGCAACCCAGATCATACGACCACAAGCATGATGATTGTTTTGTGGCTGAATATTGTTATTTTCCAAATAACTGACATGTAGACACATGTGTACCCATTTCTATATTTCATTTAAATTCAACAAATGATACTTTAAACAATGGGGTATCAAACAAAAAACTCAAAGTATTATTTTTTCATTATATGAACTACTCTTAACCTGTAATACTTGGTTTTTAATACTCCACAATGTTATTTTGCTTCTTTGCAGTACTAGAGGCTTCATAAAACTCATTTTGCTACTTGTCATTGGGAGATTTTGTGAAAAGAAAGAGGAAATTTCATAGTTCTCAGCATAAAGTTTAACTTGGAAACTTAATATACAAACATTACTAGGTGAGGAGAAGATTTGGAATGTTTGCTCCAGATTTTACAAATAATTATTTTAGTAATGTATTTCCTCTAAATTCCTTCATAAAGCTCTAATTGAGTATACAGAAACTATATTTGTAAACCTCATTCCCTCTACATCAATATAACATTATTCAAAATATTTAGGAGTTATTTAGATTAAAAAACAACTAGTAACCCACAAAATCCTTTATAAATCCATGGAGAAATGCATGTCCTTAGGACTGTACATCTTTCTCCAAGAGTGTTCTCTCCGTGGGAGAGTGAGCACTTCATAGTATTCTTCCTTAAGTCACACAGCCATGGAACCCCACTAGTAGAAAAGAAGAACATCAAACTAAATGAAGTAAATCAATAGCAACAATGAAAAAATCCTTAACAGTAGGGTCCCCAGCTCTCTCTGCTTTTTCGTTTGTCCTGGCCAAAAGACACAGGATGCCTAACCATGTGGCTACTAGTTGCATGTTTTCCCAGGACACTTGAAACAGAGTGGGGGTCTTGACCAGCATTAGCACTGACAGAATTTGTGTAGGTTGTTGTCTGAAACCCTGAATGACCAAATATTTTGCTGAATGCATGGGAACCCTGACCCTGAGACAAATCTCTCATATAAACTCAATAACTCATCCTCATCAGTGGACACAACTAGGTATGACATCCGCCATGTTGCTGTCCTTTGAAAGAACATGCTGCAGCCCTCCTGTTTTAAGGTTCCCTAATAAATACTGCAAATTTATCTGCCCATTGGTGATTCTCTCTTGGAATCCCACTAAGCTGTCTTAGGATGGTTTGGGGTACTTCCTTAGGGGAAATTCTCTGCCACAGCTTTTGATGAAATTCCAACTACAAGTTCAGATGGAAAGGACAATAATCTTGACCCAGTGCTAGTATTTTTCCATATAACATTTTGATTATGAAAATAGCTTACAGTTCAATATTCATTCCATGACAGGTTTGGTTAATATTTTATTTAATACCATTTCCAAAAGCATAATTAAAGGACTGTCAGTTAAGTTTTACTTACATGGAGCATCTAGCTCATAGGTTAGAACATTGTCATTGAAAGATGATTGCAATAGAGGAAATTATCACATTTAAATAATCCATTAAAATTAGAAAACATTATAAAAATAGTTGTAAACATTGTGTCATTTGTATAAGCTTCAGATTTCTTCTCTTTAATTTTATCTGCATTTATTTTCTTACACATCAATGTTCTTTCTCTCTTTTCATCAAAAATCTTGACATCCCTTGTTTGTCTGTCATTGAAGTTCTGCAAGTACTTAATAAACACTATTTAGCCAACAACATAATTCCATATTATGTTTCCTTTATAAACCCATGATACTTTGTAGGGAGAAATAATTGGATCTACATTAAGAGAGAGAGAACAAAGTAAAATTTAAACTTTGGTGTTCTAGAAGTATTACATACATACTTATATATTTTGCATTCGACCCAGATACTGCTTTTTGAAAATTATACTAAAATGAATGTATAATCAATAGTAGAAATTCTAGTCTAATCATTAAACCAAAACAAAGAAACTAATACAAATAAAAATATGTTAAATTTTATTAAATAGAAATTTAATATTTTAAAATCCAATTCCCCATTTTTCTCCAGGAGCAGTGTTTTATAGCTTAGCAGTGATCTGAAAACAAGTGTATCAATTTAGACTTCGGACTGAGCCAACTTGAAAAGCTTTTTCAGGGCTTCTTTCACATCCTTATTCCTCAGACTGTAGATCATGGGGTTCAACATGGGGAACAACACAGTATAAAAGGTAGAAACCATTTTGTCCCTCTCAAGGGAATAGCTGGAACTTGGGCGAGAATAGATGTAGAGGATGGAGCCATAGTACAAGGTCACAGAGGCCAGGTGGGAGGAGCAGGTGGAGAAGGCCTTGAGGCGGCCCTGGGTGGATCGGATCCTCAAAATGGCGGCAATGATGAAAAGATAGGAGGCCAGGATGAGCAGGGTAGGGGTAATGACATTGGAGGTCAGAAGGAAGAACAGTACAGATTGGTAGCTCTCCTTCACGTCACATGCCAACTTTACTAGAGGTGGAACATCACAGAAAAAGTCATCGATGACATTGTCACCACAGAAATCCAAGGTGAAGGTGTTGCTGGTTAATATTATTGCATTGACAAAACCCCCAGTATAGGAATATAGAACCAAACAGATGCACAATCTCCTTGACATGGCCTGAGCATAAAGCAGGGGGTTGGAAATAGCCATATAGCGGTCATAAGCCATGGCAGCCAGCAGATAGCACTCACTGTAGGCCAGCCCAGCTGAGAAGAAGAACTGAGCCAGGCAGCCAGCAAAAGAGATGCTTTTGTCTTCAGAGATGCAGGTGACTAGGATCTTTGGGGTGTAGACAGAGGAATACCAGAGATCCAGGAAAGACAGATTTCCAATGAAGAAATACATGGGTGTGTGGAGCCTGGAGTCATTACAGATCAGTGCTATGAGGATGGTGTTTCCTACCAAGGTCGCAGAGTACACTCCAAGGAACACAACAAAGAGGAGGACCTGCATCACAGGGTCTGCTGTGAAGCCCAGCAAGATGAACTCGGTCACTGTGTGATTGCTCCTTTCCATGCCTTAGAGACCTTTCACCTAGGGATGGAGTAGAGAAGATTTAATTGCCACGACCAACACCAGATGAAGGCACTCTCCATGCTAAGCCCCTTAGATGTGCTCAACACCAAGCTGGAACCTTGCGTCCCTTTTGCAAGCGAGGAATTTTCTGAGTTCATTTTCAATATGTGAAATACATTTAATAATAGGAAATTCAAAATGATGTCGAGGGTTTGTGTTAGTCAGCCTTGTGTTACTATGATCAAAATACCTGAAAAGAACAGCCTAGAGGAGGACAAGTTTGTTTTGGTTCATGGTTTCAGAGGTTCAGTCTGTGATCAGCCAACTCCATTGCTCTGAGTATGAGGTGAGATGGATTATCATGGCAGAAGGACATGATCAAGGAAATTGCTCACCATGTGGCAGCTAAAAAGAAGAGAGAGAGAGAGAGAGAGAGAGAGAGAGAGAGAGAGAGAGAGAGAGAGAATATGAATCAGGTGGGCAACAAGATACAATCTCTTAAGGACATATCCCTGTGATTTATCTTTCCAGCCATGCCATACAGTTACTACCTAGTATTACTAGTCTTTTAGAATTTTTAATCTATCAAATGGATCAATCCATAGATTAGGTTACAGCTCTCATAATCTAATCATTTCACCTCTGCAGATTCCTGCATTAACACAGGTGCTTTTAGGGGATATGTCATATCCAAACCATAATGGGGTTGTTATTTATTTTTACAAAAATGTATTTCTTTAGCTCTAGGTGCAGTTTAGCACACAAAGACATGGCTATGAGGCTGAAAGATTTTATTTTACAAGGTACGGGTTTGTAGGAAACAAATAAATCAATAAATACCAACAGGTTTTCAATTAATGCCTGTGCTATTATGAAAACTAAACCGGATAATGGGATAATAATGAACTAGGAACTAATTGAATTTAGACATGGAGAAAAATTCATTTTCCCATTTTCCAGCTAGGAATGGACAGGTGGTTCAGAGCCCACAAGTGCGATGTCCCCATGGTTTAAGATGTAATGACAATGTCTTTTAATACAATCTCAGAGAATGCTCTCTTCCCAGGTAGTAATTAGGAGGGGTTGATACATTTATTATGAAACCCAGGGAATAAATCAGATGGAGAGTCAGGATGAAATTGAAATGGGCACCAGCAAATCAATCTATTCTTATATCAGATAAAAACAAGTTTGATGTCATTGTGGGTTTTGGGGGTCGGAAAGCCTGAGACACAATAAATATTTACTGAATGAATAAATGAGAAGCCTTGATCCAGAAGAGAAATTGCTCAATAGGAACAATGCTCTGAGTGGCCTCAAATGGTGTMATTTTACCCTAAAACTACCGCAAAATTTTGTTTGCTATCCCACATGCATGTCTTGACACCAGCAAACCCAGATTTAATGTATTCTTTGCAGACCCAGATAGGAAGAAACAAATTAACCAGTCCCAAAATGGTCAGCCTGAGCAAATATTTGTTTACCCAAATTGTGTCTACAAATATAAGTGTTTTCCATGTCTGCAACAGATTGTCTGTCATCAGATGTCATGATGGATAGATATAGGAAGCATCCCTTGGAAATCAGAGCTATCCATCAATCCAGAGAGACCTGAAAAAGCATTTGACTTTCAGTCAACTCAACCACAGAGCAGGTACATGTTGTAATACTGACATGTTGAAAATACTAGAGGAACAAGTGATTCTCATATTCTTTATACATAAAATCACCTGGCCAGTGTTTCTAATTTAGCACATTGTAGGTGACCCCAAAGGAACCTATTTTAAATATATAACCTGCTTTTAACATATAATCTGCTTTTAAATATAAAAGCAGCCCAAGTATTTGGAACTTCATTTGTGTGTAAATCACAATGAAAAATGCTGACCTGAATATCAGTCCCATTATTATTATTATTATTATATTACAGGAGTCTTGCTTGCCTTACATGCATATAAAGATGTGGTTCATAATTTTTCAAATTTCAAAAGATGAGTTGTAACAGATTTATGTTTCAGTCCTGATATTAACA